CTAAAGGTGAATGAATCAATTCACACAGATACATACACACACACACACTCTCACAAAAACAAACAAACAGCAACAACAAAAAAAAAAAAAAACGGGGGGGGGGGAGGAAGATTTAACAACCTCAACTTTTTTTTTTTTTGAAGCTCTTACGAGAAAATGGAGGGCACACATCTGGGTGGGAGGGGGGAGAGGGAGGAGGGAGGGAGGTTTTCGTAATGGGACACAATAACTAACTACATTGTATATTGACAAAATAAAAATAATAATAATAAAAAAAAAGAAGTCCTAGCCAGAGCAATTAAGCAAGAATAAAAAATAAAGGGCACTCAAATTGGATAGCAGGAAATCACGTTGTCCCTGTTTGCAGATAACATGATTTTATAGAGAGAGAAAACCAAAGACTCTGCCAAAAAACTCCCAGACCTGATATATTCAGTAGAGTTGCAGGATACAAAATCAGTTACACAGACTTTTACAAAAATTAATCAACAAAGCTATCCCATTTACAATAGCAATAACAAAAAATAAAATACCTAGGAATAAATTTAACCAAGGAACTGAAAGATCTCTATGATGAAAACTATATATCACTGATTAAAGAAATTAAAGATGACACCAAGAAATGGAAAGCAATTCCATGCTCAGGGACTGGAAGAATCAATATCATCAGTATGACAATACTACCTAAAGCAATCTACAGATTCAATGCAATCCCCATCAAACTACTAATGAAATACTTCACAGAAATAGAGAAATAAATATTTATATTGAACCACAAGAGACCCTAAATAGCCAAAGGAATCCTGAGCAAAAAGAACAAAGCAGTGGGTAACACACTCCCTGGCTTCAAAATATACTACTAAGTTATAGTAATCAAAACAGCATGGTACTGGTACAAAAGCAGACACATAAGCCAATGGAACAGAGTAGAAAATTCAGAAATAAATCCACATACTTACAGCCAACTTATTTCTGACAAAAGATCCAAGAACATACGTAGGGGAAAGAACAGTCTTCTTAATAAATGGTGCTGGGAAGACTGTAGATCCATATGCAGAAGAATAAAACTAGACCACTATCTCTCATCACATACGAAACTAAACTCAAAATGGATTAGACTTAAATGTAAGACCCAAAACTATAAACATCTAGAAGAAAACATAGGAGAAACACTTCAAGATATAGGTCAAAGATTTCATGAATAATACTTCAGAAGCACAGGGAATAAGAGTAAAAATTAACAAACGGAATTATATCAAACTAAAAAGCTTCTGCACAGCAAAGGAAATAATAAATAGAGTGAAAAGGCAACCTGAAGAATGGGACAAGATACATGCAAACAATGCATCTGACAAGGGATTGATATCCAGAATATACAAAGAACTCAAACAATTCAGTAGTAAAACAAACAAACAAAAAACAAATACTCCAATTAAAAAATGAACAAAAGAACTGAATAGACATATTTCAAAAGAAGACACAGAAATAGCCAACACATACATGCAATTAATAAAATTAGGAAGGGATATCCCCCCCCCAAATTAACAAAAGCAAAATTTCAGAAATATCTGGAATTTAGATTTAAGGCAAAATGGCATTAAAATAGAAATTAATACAATTTTTGGTTCTACAATGAAAGTGAATCAAATAATCTGAATCAACTATGAGTTCAACTTAAGTAAATTATAGTAACTTGATAAAGTCTGTCCAGAAATGGTAGGTATATATTTTGAGTTTCCTTTTTCCTATTTTTATTTGAAAAATACAGTATTTTTTCACTGTAGTTAAAGAGAAGGCAGACAAGAGATACAAAAGAATGAAAACATATCTCATGTCTGCCTTCTCTTTAACTACAATGCTATGGTTTGAATGTGTCCCCTCTAAAATTCAGGTGTTGCCAATATGATAGTATTAAGAGGTAGCAACTTTAAGAGGCTCTGCCCTCACAAATGGGATCAGGTGCCCTCATAAAAGGGCTTAACAGAGGGAGTTTGTCCCTTTTGCCATTCAGCCTTCTGCCGTGTGAGGACACAGTGCTCCTCCCCTCCAGAGAATGCAGCATCAAGGCACCACCCTGGAAGCAGACAGCAGCACTTACCAGACATCCAAACCTGCTGGTGCCTTGATTTAAACTTCCCAACCTTCAGAAATGTGAGAAAATAAATTTCTGTCCTTTATAAATTAACTAGTCTTAGGTATTCTGTAATAGCAGCATAAAATGGACTACGACAGAAATTAGTACCAAGAGTAGGGTGTTGCTATAACAAATACCTAAAAGTATGAAAGCAACTTTGTTACTAGGTAACAGTGGAAGCTGGAACAGTTTTGAAGTGCACAGTGGGAAAAGCTTATATTACACCATGAATGGAGTGTTCAGGGTGATTCTGGTTAGGGCTCAGAAGAACAGAAGAGCTATTGGAAAAGTCTCATTGTTCTTACAGATTACTTAAGTGGATGTGACAGTGAAGACTATTCTGATATGGCCTTACACAAATAAGGGACAAGGTATTGAAAACTGAAGGAAGGGCCATCCTTGTTATAAATATAGAGTACAAAAGAATTTGGCTGAATTCTATCCATGTTCTGGGACTTTGTGGAAGGCAAACCTTAAGAACCATAACTAGGATATATGGCAGAAGAAATCTCTAAGCATCAAAGTGTTAAGGATGCTGTATGATTTCTCTTAACTTCATAAAGTAGATGCAAGAAGAAAGAAATAATTTAAATGGAATTTATAATTAAAAGGAAAAGAGCATAAAGATATGGAAAATTCCCAGCCTAGCCATGTAAAACATAAAATAGTTTAGGAGAGAAAATGAGGGGTGTGGCCAAGCAATGGTTAGATGCGATTAGCATAGATAGAAGAAAGTCAGGTGCTATTCATCAAGAAAATGGGAGAATGACCCCAAGGGCATTTCAACAATCTTTGAGGCTGCCACACCTATCACAGGCCCAGAGTGTTAGGGCCTTGAGAGCAGAATGGATTAAAGGGAACAGGCCCAGAACTCCTGAAAGATTTTGGGGTTCACTGCTTGGGGCGGCTTCCAATCTCTGCTCCCAGCATTATGACGTAGTCCCCCTCAGCTGCCCAGTGGTGGTTCAAGAAGGCCCAGGTGTAACTCAGGCCACTGTTCAGAAGGGTGCAAGTAGTGAGTCCTGGTGGCCTCCATGTCATGCTAACTTTACAGGCAGGCAGAGTTCAAAAGCTGTAGAGGCATGGCTTCCATCACCTAGATTTGAAAGGATGCCTCAGGAAGTGTTGGGCACAGGCAGAGACATGCCACAGGGGCGGAACTGCTACAGAGAGTCCCGGTTAGGGCAATTCCCAGCAGAACTGTGCAGTTAAAGTTGCTGCAGAGAGACCCCTAAAGGGCAATGCTTACTGGAGCCATGGGGGCAGTGTGCTGACCCCCAAAACCTCAAACCTAGAGCCATCAGCATGTAACACCAGCCTGGGAGAGTTGCAGGTACATGGCTGCAACCCCTGAAAGCTGTGGCACAGGTTATGCCCAGTGGAGCCATGGGGATGAGGGCCCCCAGAGCCTTGTGATCCCAATCCTCACCCTAGTGAGTTTAGGAGGTGGGACATGGAGTCAAAGATTATTCTGGATTCTTAAGACTTAAACATTTGCCCTGCTAGGTTTTGGACTTACTTAGGACTTGTTACCCCCTTCTTCTTTCATATCTCATCCTTTTAGAATGGGAATATCTATCCTATGTCTGTCCCACCACTGTATTTTTGAAGTACAAAGCTTGTTTGATTTCATAGGCTCACAGCTGGAGAGAAATTTGCCTCAGGATGAATCATGTCTTGAGTATCACTCATATCTGATTTAGATAAGACTTTGGACTTAGTCTTTAAAGCTGATGCTGAAATAAGTCAAGACTTTTTGGGGCTACTGGGATAGAATGAAAGTACTTTGTACATGAGGACATGAATCTCAGAGGGGCAGCCAGTGGTAAAATGCTATGGTTTGAATGTATCTCCTCCAAAATTCAGATGTTGCTAATGTGATAATATTAAGAGGTGTGGCCTTTAAGAAGTAATTACCCATAATTAGGTGCCCTTATGAAAAATCTTGAAGAAGAAAGTTCATTTCTTTTGCCCTTCCACCTTCCTGCCATGTGAGGACACTGTTTCTTTCTCACTTCTGGAGAATGCAGCATCAAGTTGCCATCTTGGAAGCAGAAAGCAGCCCTCAGCAGACACCCAAACCTGTTGGTGCCTTGATCTTGGACTTCCCAGCCTCCAGAAACATGAGAAAATAAATTTCCATTCTTTGTAAAGTATCCAGTCTCAGGCATTGTTACAGCAGGACATTGCACAAAAAAATGAATTAGCTCCCGCTCTAAAGTCTGATATGCAATGTACTTAATACTTAGGATATTTAAAAAATATTTTTAAAATATTAAAATATTAAATTTTTTAATATTTAGGGTATTTTTTCTTAACTCTCCCAGATGTTTGGTTTGTATCAGCTCTAAGAGAGCATCACATACCATTCCACATATGTGGGACAAAAAATTATTCTCAAACATCTTAATCTCAACAATGTATTTAAAAACAGAGCACAGTAATCTCTATGGGAAAGTACGAGCTTCAATGTACTTTATTTCCCCTTCTTGTTGGCAGTAAACTCAAAAGAAAAGAATATAAGCTGAATGTTTACCTAATGAATTATTTGTTTATAAAGGATTTATAGTAGGAAAAACCTTACCAACATTACAGGTGTCTTCAAGTACTACATCAACATTTCTGTCTCTGTACTCAACCCTGAAGTCCAACATCCGAGGTTGCCTTTCTACAATCTGCCTGGATGGCATGACAGGTCGAAACACAGAAGAAGAAGATGGAGTAGGAGCTGGAGCTGGATGATTTGCTGGATCAAATGCAGGTCCTGGTATGGTCTCACCTCCATAATCACTAAAATGTTGACATAAAAAAAGGATTATCATCAACCAAATCATCACAGAATTCCACTAGGGACCCTCTCCATCACTGGCTTGTGTTGTTCTTCCTATCAAGTTTACCTACCTATATGTCAAGGCCAATCTTACGTTCTACTTTTCCCACAAAATCTTTCCCAGTGACTGAAGGCTACATTGCTCTTCCTCCCATCCTTGCCTCTCTACCTTTATTAGCAGTATCATATCATTTAGCATTTAATTAGATTTTTGCTACGTGTTATGATGTTGGTAAAACAACATTTTAAACTCTGTGAAGTAAGAACAGTGTCTTCTCCTTCACTCACTGCCATTTATACCTCAATCATTATTTAACTTATTAACTGTACTTTCCAGAATGCCTGTTTTGAAACTTAGGTATTCTGTTTTAGCAGCACAAAATGGGCTAAAACACATACTATGTCCTTAAATCTCAATTATCCCTATCTCACTCCTCAGTCTTAAAAAATTTTTTTTCTGCTTTTCGGAGAAAACAGAAGACATCTGGAGGAATTTCCCTTATTTTCTTAACATCAAATCCACAAACTAACCTGCATATGCACTGTCTCTTTCTCCTTTCCTATAAAGGAGTAGAGACATCATTTTTCCTATCTGTGCAAAATCTAAAACCATCTTCTCATTAGCTTTATGGTTTGGATTATCCCTTTCCTTTTCTGTATCTTTGACATTTTCTCTTCTGGATTCTTCTGAATAACATTTAAACATGTTCCAATCTGTCCTTTCAGAATAAAAAATTAAAATGAAATCCTGGCTCTGCCCATTTAATAGCTGTCTTTTTTGTAAAATGGATATATTTGCCCGGTGCCTGGTACCTAATAAGTTCTCAAACATTACACTCAGTATGTCCAAAGCTTGACTCATTAATATTTCCCCAAGCCAGATCATCTTCAATTATTCCTAACATTAGCAACTCAAGCCAGAAACCTGTGGTATTACCCTTGACCCCTTCTTCTCTCTCACCCTCCACATCTTATTAGTCCTTTCAATTTTACCTCCTAAATATCTTTTGGATAAGTCACCCACCTTTACCCTCTGAAGCTACTACCCTAGTCCAAGCCACAATCACCTCTTGTATGGACTAAAGCAGTAGACTCCTACCTAATCTCTTAACACATACTCCTGTTCCCCTGCATTCCATTCCACACCTCACCTAGAATGAAATTAATAACACAAATGTCTTCATATCATTTTCTTCCATACCTCTTTAATTGCTCCCTTCTGCTCTTCTGATAAATTCGTAAAATGGACCTATATGATCTAAATCCTATCTTTCTTTCCATCCTCATCATGTGGTATGCTATTTCCATCTCACTATGTTAATAGCCACAACCTTTCATTTCTTCTCTCACCTTGATCTTTCCCATTTCATGGAGGAACATTGGCTATTCCCTCTAAGAATATTCTTTCTTCCCCAACCCATCCTCACTTCTACCTTTCTTCAATTTACATTCATCCTTCAAATTTCATATTGAATGTTTTTCAACTCAGAGCACATTTTGCTACCTCAGACTAGGTCCAATTCCCCACTACTATAATTTTTTTTCCCCACTGTTTTGTTTTGGCAGCTGGCCAGTGTGTCCCCACTAATACCTATAATCATAAAATTAGAGGTATAATTAATCATTTGACATCTGTGTTCCCACTAGAATATAAGTTCCACAAGGACAAAACTCATGTGTGTTTTTAATGGCCATATCCTCTGCCCTGAGCTCAAGATTTTATATATAGAATGCATTCAAATATTTACCCAACTAATGAGTAGAGAAATGATTACTTTAAATTTTGGCTTTTCTCTGTCAATTTATCATATGTAGTTTCACTTTTTTTGAGGGAAGGGAGGAGGGAGAGAGGGCACATAAGGAGTTCTTCAGTTGCAACATCATTATTATATATATTTTCTACCACCAACAGAACTCAAGACCAGCTCTAAAACATCTTTTTTCTCCCCTTAATTTAAGGAAAAACTGTGGACCAAGGGAACCTGCTGCACAGGAAGAACAACAATGACCAAAACATGCCTAGTTAAACACTGTTCATACAATTAAGCAGGAAAAATATTTATATTTATTTCCCTTCCGCATACTATTGCTCCGAACAGTGTTTGTCAAAGCATAGCATACACAGTTGATTTAGCGAGTTGTGATCAGTCTTTTAAAGATTAGATAAATAAAATAACAGAAATTATCAGTATGTGTCACTTAATAGTTAAAAACCAAGTACAGTTTCATAAAACTGTTGAATTTGTTACGTATTGGTATATGCGTGTATTGGATTCCAAGTATTTCTCTCTGTAGGTCACAGCCAAAAATGTTCAGAAGCAACTACATTAGACCTCACCAGTGTTTAGATACTCCAGTAATCACTGATCCAAAGACAAAATCTTACCCTTTCTCCCAGTTAGTAATTATTATTATTTTATTACATATAAGATGTTGTGGAGCACTGGAGGGGGAAACGGAGAGTTCAAAAGGTTGCAGGATAGGGTAGAAGGAGGAAGAAGGGGAGAGTGGTGGAGGCCCATGGCACCCCAGTCATTCCGGCAGGGGAGCCCAGGATGCTTCCAGTGGAGATTCACTTGTGGCTGGGCCAGATGCAGATGTCAGAGGGGCACTGCTGAGGCCCTTGGCTCCCTACCACCCCAGCTAAGGAGCCCAGGGTGCTTCCAGCAGTGGCTCAGTCACCGCTGGGCTGGATGCAGACGTCAGAGGGCATGGTAGAGGCCCATGGCTCCCCACTGTCCTGGCTTGGTGGTCATCACTGGGCTGGGTGCTGACATCAGCAGGATGTGGCTAAGGCCCTCGGCCCCCCATTGCCCCAGCTCGGGAGCCCGAGGTGCTTCCGGCAATGTTTTGGTGGTTGTGCTGAGCTGATCCTGGCTTGGTGGTCATCACTGGGCTGGGTGCTGACATCAGCAGGATGTGGCTAAGGCCCTTGGCCCCCCATTGCCCCAGCTCGGGAGCCCGAGGTGCTTCCGGCAATGTTTTGGTGGTTGTGCTGAGCTGAATGCAGATGTTGGCAGGGTGTGGGGGGTGGCTGAGGCCCTCAGCCCCCCACTGTCCTAGCTCAGGAGCCTGGGGCTCTTCCAGCAGTGGCTCAATGGTCATCACTGGGCTGGATACTGACATCATAGAGGAGTGGTTGAGGCCCTTGGCCCCCAACTGTCCTGGCTTGGGAGCCTGGGACACTTCTGGCAGCAGCCTGGTGGTCATTGCTGGGCTAGATGTGGATGTTGGGGGGGCATAGCTGAGGCCCTTGGCCCTGCCCCCAACCCCAGCTTGGGAGCCTGGGGGGCTTCTGGTCCTTCTAGGTATTACAGGTGTTCTTCAGTGGTGTTAGATCTTTACTGATTAATATCAGAACTTTGTCTCTGACCCATGGGTGGTTCTGTGTTGGATTATTCGCTATTCCTACCACTTAAACTCTGCACTGGAACTAATTTGTTGTCCTTTGTTTACTTCTAAAGTGGGGGAACCAGCACTTGAACCCTGTGGTTGAGCTAAATTTCTGCTCTGCTGCTGATTCTCTGGGGAAGGCTTTTTGTGCAGTTCAGGTTTTAATTGTTGACCTTGTAAGCACTTCCAGGTCTTGGTGACGTCTCGTACACCTGGTTGTGTGGAAACTTCGGTCCAGGCCTGAGTCTTTTCAAAAAATTGTACCCCCTGAAGTTCTATATTCCTGACCAGTCTCCACTGAGTGGTCCTGTGCTGACTGGAGGGCAGATCAGCTGTCCATGCTGTTCCCCAATCTTCCCTTGGTGAGACTGTCTCCTCCACCCCTCGTAGTCTAAACACTTCCCATGGGACAGGCCATGCACCAGCCCCTTGCAAAGACTCACCAGCCTCTGAGTGGCTCCTTTTTTCAGTTGTCTGTGGCCCCTCACTCCTATGTGGGTCCACAGGGACCCTGTGAGTGGTCTTGCTGGCCTGAGGGTCACCAAGGCCCTCTTCTCCCCCGTAGCCTCCAAGCAACTTCATATGAAGGGCACAACTTCAGTTTTTGTCAGCTCTTGCTCCATGTGCTCACCAGGGCCAGCCTTGAAATGGCCGGGGCTTGAAATGGTCAGAGTGATCCTATATTTCTCTCATCGTGGCTTCACCTTGCCTTCATGAACTCTGTAGGTCTCTCCTCCTCTTCCCCTGAGCTCTAGCAGCCCCAGCTTGGCAGTCGTTGCTTTTTAATAGTTGTAAATAGGTTGATTGTGGAAGAGGGTTACACTGGGTACCGTCTATTCTGCCATCTTGACCAGAAGTCCAAGAAAGTATCTTATAAGGAAGACATGGGAACAGAGAAAGTGTCCAAAGTAGGAAAAATGCCACACTGTTTAAATCCAAAGCAAGCTCCTAAATATCTATGAACAGAATCTGTGCAGTGACACTTCACTCTAAAGATTGTCACAACTTTTTAGAAACCTATGAAAAACAGCTCAAAGTAGTTAAGCTGGTCACTGACATTTTTCCTTGACCCCAAATCCAGCCTTCCATCTAGTCTATTCTGTGATGCTGGGGCCAAGATTCTGCAAAATTATTTTTTCCTCTGCTAGATAGTTTCCTTTTAGATTCTGCCAATAGGAGATACTACACTGAGATTAGTAGTTAGGAAGAGGAGAGACAAGACCCTGTAGGTTCCAATCCTTTGTTTTTCAGCATTCTTATAACCAGCATCGTGACATTCCCTCAGAAATCAGCAGTAGCCAGACAGCGTAAATTTGCAGAGGTCTGATCTCCAGGTCCATGGGGCCCCTGGGAGCTTTAGAGTTCTGTCAACCCCTTTGTTCCCTAAATGTAAGAGTGGTAACTTCCTCTAGCAAGTATTATATCCAGGTTACCTCCATTTTACCTCTTTGATCTTTTAGTCCTTCCGTACCTGTATAACCACTCCTACATTAAGTATTTCAGCAGAGGGAATTTAGAGTAATTTCATTTTCCTGACGGGATGGATCCTAATACAGTGAAAGGGTCT